TCTTTCCCTTATTAGGGACCAGTTAGTCAACCCTAGCAGCAGCAACATGTAGGACAGATTGTGAGGAAGAAGACTGGGGATGAAGGTCTGTGTGAATGCACTTGTCAGGGGAGGAGCATAGCAGCTCTCATTGTTCTCAACTAAGGGAGAGAATTTAAAAACACTATACTAGGAGAGAATGGGAACCATGTTTGGGGCATCCAAATTCTCTGAGCAAATTCTACTAATTGCAATTCTTCAAGCTCATGTTCCTGTCATCTATACAGCCAAGTAGCAGAACTTGACTTATCAACTATTGTAGCAGTTGGTATACTAAATAAATCACTTGAAATGTGAATTATCAGATTTTATTAATAATAATAAAGCCATGACAAAGAAGATAAAGAAAGGGAATAAGGCTGGGCCAGGCCTTTCACCTGATGGTTAAGGGAGCTGCATTCCACATGAGCAGTGTCAGTTGAGTCTTAGGTTTGGTGCCTTGAAAACCATGCTGGGCATGTGCATGCAATCCTATAATCCTGATGATATAGAGAGATGGAGGAAAAGGGATTGCAGTGTGATCATGACCAGTTGGGGGGTGCTTTTTTCCTCTCCTTCTCTCTGTTTCTCTGGTGAACACCTGCTGGTAGTTTAAAAAAAAAAAAGAAGAAGAAGAAGAAGAAGAAGAAGGAATAAGGCGAGGGAGTAACATTTTAAAGAGTCCTGCATATCCTTCCTTTCCTTGGTAGGACCAGGTGTGAGATCAACTCCCTGATATGTACAAAAGGCAGAGGGAAAGGGCTCTGGTCTCCTGGCATTCTGTCTTCAAAGCAGATGACTTTCTGTCTGCCAGTTCTATCCTTAAGAGCCAGAACATGGAGAAAAAAAGGAGAGTTGCACAAAAACAAACATAGATGAACACACTTCAGCAAATCTTTCTGAAAGACTGCTACCCGTTCATCTGTGACTTTGGTGTGAGACCTCCAGAGTCACAAAATTCACTGATTCATTTCTAGCACATTTACTTAATAGTTGACATCCCATGGTAGGCACTGATGCTAACACTAAGCTGAGTTTTGTATGCTAGGGTTTAACACTTTTTTTTTCTTTTCTTTCAAAAACTTACACTTACAAAACCTATTGTGTAGAATAGTAAAAAATGGGAACAGCTCCAGTGTGATAGACACAGTTTTTGTTCCCATAGGAAAACAAAACAAAACAAAACAAAAAAAAAACAAACAAAAAAAACCACTGGAAATAGTGGTGATGGTTACACAGCCTTGTGAATGTCCTCAATGCCCCTGAATCATTCACTTGAAAGTAGTTTAAATGGCAAATTTTATGCCATGTGCATTTTACCACAATAATAAAAAACCTATAATGTAGGTTTTGAGACTATCATAGAGATGAGTAATCCAGTTTTCCCCCTGAAATAGTAGAGGCTAGTGCGAACCAAAGAAATGATACCAGAGAAAAACAGATATGAACTTATATCCCACTTACCGATAAGGAGACCCAGACAGTATTTCAGAATATTACTATTTTTCAGTTACATAGATGCCCATTTGCACTTAAAATAAGGTTTTTGGGTCATCAGCTCATTCTCCATGCAAGAAACCCAATCTAAATGCATCTTCAGAGATGAGTTCCTCTGGGTCATTTCTACTTGCTAGATTTATAGACAGTGCCCTACTTTTAAATACATTTTTTTTAAGTAAAAAAACCTGACAAGATTTCTTGGTAGGAAAAATAGGTTTTATAATACAATTGAAGTAAATCCTTAACAGTCTCTTTTTCTGAAATGTATACAATTTTTTTTTCTTTTTGGCATCAGAGTTAATATTATTCTGCCTTTTAAAAAAGAATTATTCATTTTTAAAATTATTTTTAAGTTTGCTATAGGGCATGTATTCTCACTAGAGAGAGACAAAGGGAGAGAAAGTGAGAGAGCAAACCGCCAGGTCTGGAACTCAAACCATCGTCAATCATGTAGGACTCCAGTGTCTTAACCACCATGCTACCTGCTGGCCCCTCAGCTCTTCCCATGGTAGGCACTGATGCTAACACTAAGCTGAGTTTTGTATGCTAGGGTTTAACACTTTTTTTTTCTTTTCTTTCAAAAACTTACACTTACAAAACCTATTGTGTAGAATAGTAAAAAATGGGAACAGCTCCAGTGTGATAGACACAGTTTTTGTTCCCATAGGAAAACAAAACAAAACAAAACAAAAAAAAAACAAACAAAAAAAACCACTGGAAATAGTGGTGATGGTTACACAGCCTTGTGAATGTCCTCAATGCCCCTGAATCATTCACTTGAAAGTAGTTTAAATGGCAAATTTTATGCCATGTGCATTTTACCACAATAATAAAAAACCTATAATGTAGGTTTTGAGACTATCATAGAGATGAGTAATCCAGTTTTCCCCCTGAAATAGTAGAGGCTAGTGCGAACCAAAGAAATGATACCAGAGAAAAACAGATATGAACTTATATCCCACTTACCGATAAGGAGACCCAGACAGTATTTCAGAATATTACTATTTTTCAGTTACATAGATGCCCATTTGCACTTAAAATAAGGTTTTTGGGTCATCAGCTCATTCTCCATGCAAGAAACCCAATCTAAATGCATCTTCAGAGATGAGTTCCTCTGGGTCATTTCTACTTGCTAGATTTATAGACAGTGCCCTACTTTTAAATACATTTTTTTTAAGTAAAAAAACCTGACAAGATTTCTTGGTAGGAAAAATAGGTTTTATAATACAATTGAAGTAAATCCTTAACAGTCTCTTTTTCTGAAATGTATACAATTTTTTTTTCTTTTTGGCATCAGAGTTAATATTATTCTGCCTTTTAAAAAAGAATTATTCATTTTTAAAATTATTTTTAAGTTTGCTATAGGGCATGTATTCTCACTAGAGAGAGACAAAGGGAGAGAAAGTGAGAGAGCAAACCGCCAGGTCTGGAACTCAAACCATCGTCAATCATGTAGGACTCCAGTGTCTTAACCACCATGCTACCTGCTGGCCCCTCAGCTCTTTTTTTTTTTTAATAGAATTTTTATTCTAGCTTAGTTTTAGGTGTATAGGAATGTGTGTGGGGGGAAGGTAGGCCCCATGCACCCTGTGTCAAGTTTCCCCTATTGTTAGCATCAGTACGGCACACTTTTCCCCACTAATGAGCTAACGTTAATACAGGATTATGAACCGAAGTCCATACTGTATTCAGACACCCAGTTTCCTTTTAGTGCCCCTTTCTTCTCCAGGATCCTTCCAGGATATCACATCACATTTGGTTATGCTCCTTACACTCTTGATGACTGTCATAGTTTTTCAATTTTTTCTTCTTTTTGATGAGTTCTTAAGAAGTTTGCTGAGCTATTTTGTAGAATATCCCTCCAATGGGGTTTCTTGAGTGTTTTTCTTACAATTGGACTGTGGTTATAGGATTCTGAGAGGGCAACCACAAAGATAAAGCACCATTTTCACCATATTATATCAGGGGTATTTGCTGTCAATATGACTTAACTTTGATCACCTGGATGAGATAATGTGTTTTGAGTATGTCAACTGTAAACTCACTCTCCTCTTCACTCCTTTCATACTCTTTGGAAGTCACCACATACAGCCTATACTTAATCTACTGGAAAATAATGTTTCAGATTCTTGAGTGGAGAGCAGAACTTCATGGCACAAAAATTCATTTTTTTCCTTATATATTCACGAGAGACAGACAGTGAGAGAGCAAGAGAACAAGAGACAGAAATCACCCCCAGAAAGGATGGTCACACCACAATCCCCTCTCCTCCATTCTCTCAGGGTTTGGGACACACATGCACACACGCCTGGTGTATTTTTCATGCCTCTGGGTCTCAGGCTCGAACTGCATTAACAGCCTTAAGTTCCAGGTCATCTGCTGGCCTCAAAAAGTGATTTTTGTGAGCCTTAAGACATACAAAATTTGGGACTAGCAGTTATCGTAATGGCTATGTTGCTGGACTCCCATGTAGTGGACCGTGACTTGAGTCCCGGACCCGGTGGCTTAAAACTCACACTGGGCATGTGTGCATGAGTGCCCAAGATCCTGAGAGAAGAATGGAGGAGAAGGGATTGTGGTGTGGCCATCCCCCCGGGGGTTGATTTCTCGCTTTCTGTCTCTCTGTCTCTCTCTCTCTGGTGAGAGCATGCACCTTATAGCAAAAACCTCTCCAAAAGAAAAAAAAAAGATATACAAATTTTGTAAATTATTTAGGAGATTGAATGATCCCAGAATGGAATGCAGGCTATGATAAAATAATCTAAATGTTACTAGAAATATATGAAATAATTTTACTGAAGAGTTGGCGGTGGGGCAGGGGTGGGGAGGAATTGCTGATGTAAGAAACTCTGGAAATGAATAGAAATTCTAATACTAAACATAAAAGGAGCTGTATATAAGCACTGTACTCTAGTTGACAAAGTTGTGTACTCAGGAGTTTGGTTTAATTTTGAAGTCATTTTATATGCATACTAGACTTGGACAGTAAACAGTAGATGGTTCAGGAACCAGATTTCTCCATGTTGGAGAGGTAGGTTACAGACAAGGGGGAAAGACTAGAGTGACCCCCGTGGCACTGGATTACAGTTGGAGTTATCAGTGTCTGAACTCATATTTAGCTTAAAATAGAAATGAATGTATATAGAACACAAAGGACAATGAAAAGGTTCCTGGGACTAAAAAATGGTACAGCAGTAAACTGTGATGTTCTGCAGGGCAATCCCATGTAGGGCAATTCCTAGTTCAAGTCTGGAGACCTTCCTGAGAACTCTGCTCACCTGGTTGCCCATACAGGGCTGGCTGAAGGCTGGGGTGGATGGCAGCATGAAGTTCCTGTTGAGGTTGTTTTTTCTCTCATTCTATTTATCTCTCACTCATATAAAAAAATAAAGAAATAAGCTTTAAAAAGAGAAGAAAGGAAGGAAAAGCTCCTGATGGCCAAAACTGAAAGAAATGTGAATAAGAAAATAAATAATGCACTATTGGATTATAACCCAAAATACAAAATAAGTATCCCATTGGCCATATGCTGATAGAAAGGAGTGATTACAGAAGAGAAAAAATAGAATAGCCAGAAGAATTCCAAATAGTTTTGTAAATCTAATTTTTATAACTATAATTCTCATTTCACAATCACAGAGAATTATATAAGTTATCGGGAGAGCAGTTGGCATAATGCATATTTGCTGGACTCACATGTAGTTGACTGCGGTTCGGAGTTTAAGTCACTGTGGACCCGGTTACTTAAACTCACCCTGGGCGCGTGTGTGTGCGTGCCCAAGATCCTGAGAGGAGAATGGAGAAGAAGGGATCGCGGAGTGGCCATCCCCCCTGGGGAGATGATTTCTCGCTTTCTATCTCTCTGTCTCTCTCTGTCTTTCTGGCAAGCACACATACCCTATACAAAAACCTCTCCAAAAAAAGAGAAGGAAAATTATATGTATATTATTTAAAAATACTCTATTTGAAGAGAATGTTAAGGTTACTTATCATTCATACTTATCAAGAGAATTGAAATGAGCAGGCCAAGTATTAAACAAAGTCATCAGTGGGCAGAGTTTCACATATTTCACTTGAGGTGCCCTTGGTGATGAATCTTATTTGGGAAATAGTACTTGTTCTTACTTCCATCTACTTGGGACAATTCCTTTGAGCCTCCCCATACCCAAGTGAATTACCAGGTGTGTGTGTTCTTATACAAGGGTAGATTCATCTTCACACACACACACACACACACACACACACAAGCCAGAAGAATTCCAAATAGTTTTGTAAATCTAATTTTTATAACTATAATTCTCATTTCACAATCACAGAGAATTATATAAGTTATCGGGAGA